CATAATTTGTATAAATGCATCATAATTTTTCATACGGCGGCGATCGAGTAACTAATGGGAGGTTTGGCTAGTTATTGCAGACGAATTGGGAACACTTTCATAGTATTCCATATGAAAGTCAACGAAATCGTTGCTGAACGACCGAAACGGCAAAAATTTCAGTTATGCGTCTGATCTTCAGTGACTGGCATCTTCATCGAGACACATTGCTGTTTGTTCTGCTTGAGGGGCATCGGCGAAGACCGACTTCGATCGGCCGCGTTCATCGGTTTCCGGGCCAAGGAACTGGCTGCAAACTTGTTGCTAGCCAAAACACCAGACCGCTGCCTCATTTCCGCCCATCGCCTGTCGGACTTTTGAAAAATGGCATTTTTGATTTCCGGAATGCGAACCACGTACACTATAGGATTGATGAGGCTTTTCGACAAGATGCAGAGGTTGGCGAAAACGCTCAAAGCGAAAACATCCGTGTATGCGGACATTTGATAGTAGGCCATCGGACAGGTGGCACAAGTGAGAAGGAAAATCAAGCTGGTCGGCATCCATCCAACGATGAACGTACCACAGATGATGATGGTCGTGAAGAGCGTTTTTCGTTTGCGATAGATCTGCTGATTCAGCAGATCAGTCGATAGTCGCCGGTAACGTTTCTTCTGAATGTACAAGACGGACGCGTACAGACCGGACATGATGAGCATGAACGAAAATATGACCACGAACATGGCTAGTCTGAACTTGAGCTGATGGAAGAAGGCTACCTTGAAACATTTGCCATCCGGCGACTGATAACCTTGATTTTTCACCGACGCAAAGTACGTCAGCAGTGCCAGTGGGGGAACGACCCACAGTAGAACTATGACGGCCACGGTTTTACACGGACTGAATATTTTGTGATGCACAAGCGGGCACACGATCACGATGTGATGATTGGCAGCAATCGCCAGCAAATGAAGACAGCCGGTCAACAAGCCGCCGGTACGAATGGCTTCGAATGTAAGCGCAACGCAAGGGCTCACCGGCAGGTGACAGACTACGGTCAGGTAACTGTTGTAGACCATGCTAAAGGCAACGACAACCGATGTCCACACGTCAGATATCACCAAGCTGATAGTGAGCCGCAAAGTGGAAGTCATCCTAATCTTGATGAATCGAAGAGCCAACAGCACTGCCATGTTGCTGATCATGACCAGGAAGCAGATTCCAATAAATACAGGCACCGCCACGCTGTAGGCCTGCATGCGCCACAGCTGTACATCGCTGTAATTGTGGCTAGAGTTTATTCCGTACATGTCTTGCGGCCGGTCTGAGGGAAGCAAGTCGCCACCTGCCCCTGGACTCCGGTGACACTTGCAAATGCGCAATTTTCACAGAAATTCGAACTCCTCCGGCACGTCACTCGGCACTCATCAGGCGGCCGTCTGCCGCAAACAAACTCACTGATGAAAATCGAATTAATTCAGCGCTTCTTCAGCAATAATTCACCGCGACATGCATGAATTTCTTCAACAGCGGAAAATATTTTGTGTTAAGAGACAAGAATAGGGCAAACGTCCAGACGGAGATGGTATAGAGTTTGAAAGTCCTAAACAGAATTGGATATAGTTTGATACAAATGACATT